GCTCGAATCGCTCGAGCCGTGAATTTCATCGTCTCAAAGAGAGGAGTACCGGACGAAAAGATTGGATGATGCGCGTGTCTCGTCGGAGCGTCTGCTCCGGAGCATAAAATTAAGAAGCTACGGAAACACAGCGACGAGGCAACGGTTAAAATTAAAGGAAGCAGTGAGGGAGGAAACGTGGATTATCCTTCAACGCACAGCGAGTAGCTGAACTCCCGCGGGACTCGCGTTGACCGGAAGTAAGAAATAAGAGAAAAGGAGAAACGGGACTAAAGCGATGCGACTCGGGTGTAGCCGAGCGTGGAAGGGAATAGAGAATAGGAATCGAGACGAGAGAGCAGCCGTTTTCCACGAAAAACACGAAATTCACCTCATTTCCTCGTGTCGCCGTCGACAATTCCGATCGGCGTTTTCTTTCCTCTTTTTGCGACAATCGTCGCGGCGCTCGCCGTGAAGAATTACGTTAGAGGATCGTTTCTCACGGCGAGTAGCCGTAAGAACATCATTTGGCTACCGAGAGAGACCGAAGGAGGAGAAGCAGAAGCTCGAGGAGGAGGAGGAGGAGGAGGAGGAGGAGGAGGAGGAGAAGGAGGAGGAGGAAAATGAGGAAAAGGAGGAAGGTGCCGGAAAAAATACGGAACAGCATGCGGAACAGAAACGAGCCAAAAAGCGAATTTAAAAATTGAAGGTAGTAAGCCGGGGGCGCCCTGGCCCTTACAGCCGACGCGCTGACGAGCGAGACAAAGGGAGCGAAAAACGGGGAATAAAGAACGAGATTGTAATCGGAAGGAAGAGAGTGAAAAAGTTCCGCGAAGTAAATTACGCAAATTCTCGTGCTTACGTCCTTATGCAAATATTTGCAGTACGGTCGCGCACGCGCGGCCGACGGGAAGAAGGAGAGCGAGAGAGCGAGAGAGCGAGCGAGCGAGCGAGCGCGAGAGAGAGAGAGAGAGAGAGCGAGCGAGCGAGCGCGAGAGAGAGAGAGAGAGAGAGAGAGAGAGAGAGAGAGAGAGAGAGAGAGAGAGAGAGAGAGAGAGAGAGAGAGAGAGAAAGAGAGCTACGGTGTGTCACGGGAGAGCCGCGCCAAGCGACAACAGCGCAGGGCCAGACTAAGAGTAAGGGCTAAAAGGCGAAGAGGGTAAAACGAGAATGTCCCTCAACACGACACGGATAGCCGGGCTCTCCCGCGGGATCCCGCGACTGACCGGAAACGAAAAATAGAGAGGGAAGGACGACGAATCGAGATTAAAGCGAATGTACCGGAGCGCGGGCGGGAGGAGCGAGACGGCCGAATCGATGGCGAAAGATCGCCGCGTTTCCGCGGACAAACAAGCTCGGTCTATCTCTTTGTGTCGCGCGATCTTCATGCAGAATTCCCATTCCGCGCCCCGCCAAACTTTATGACAAAGAGTACATATTTAAATTTCCTTGCATACGCATGCACGAAACATATTGAATGCGCCGGCGGTGGAAATATCGATGAATACCGTAGCGGGAGGAGCGAGAGGAGCGGGAGGGGCAAGTACTTTCGATAGGCGACGCGAGAAGCGATTTTACAGCGAGCGAAAGCGACGAGAGGCAAGGAGAGGAAAAGAAGCAGGCGTTACGACCGAGCTCGTAATAACCCGCATAGAGAAAATTTCGGATCTAATTGAGATCTACCGGGTGTGTCGAAGAGAGTGGGTTGGCTACTTGTGCAGTTATATTCTTCTCATCAAGGTGAGGAAAAAAGACTCGACGAACGCAGCGCGCCTTGCACGCTCGATCGAAAAGTTAATGTCGAGTCGAGATCGAGAGAGAATTCGTTTCGATGTAAATGTAGTATCGCGGAATAATATGTAATACGGAATAATATGTTAAATTGTTAAATTTCCATTTAGCTTTCAACTGTGGGATCGTTTGGAAACAATTGTTTACTCGATTTCGATAACGAACGATCAGTTTTACAAAGAATAAGAGATGAATGTCGAGCGATACGCGATATTCTAGGAATGTTTCAATGCGCAAGAGTTACTTCTCTTTGACGTCCGTGTTTTTCTAATTTTTCAAATTCATCTGCATAAATATCGTCTCTCGTATGTGTGTGTCATCACGCTAACATGAAAATTAATTCTTTTAATCTTGACTCGACGCTCGACGTTTTAACCGTTTTTAGGCGTTTTAAGGTCATTCTACAATGAGGTTGTAGTAGTATGCAGTAAGCAAATTGACCAATCACGATCGATTGTTCTCTTTACGATCGAAGAATAATCGACTATGATTGGTCAATTTGCCTACTGCATACTACTACAACCTCATTGTAGAATGACCTTTAGGCACCATGCTTATCAAAACATTTCGTTTGTCTTGGTGAGAACGATATAACTGTGTACAACCAGCTCGTCCGTTTGGAAATATCCTCTGTAGTCCGATCTCTGGGAATCTGCACAGATATCAGTTACAAATGTAATCAATGCGCCAAACGCGCGATTCTGAGTGAAAGACCGAAGGTTTCCCCGATATTCCGCTGATCTTCATGTTACATTAAAATTTATTCTTTTGATCTTTTTATTCCATCGAATACAATAGTTGGGATATAAAAATGGAAATTCCAGTTTGATATTATAAAAATACACCGACTGACAAAAAGCGCGGGTTCTCATAATATTTTTGTTTCGCTTCTGAATACTAATCCCTGATTCTGATTCCGAATAAAAATCCATGTTTATGATAAGGATACACGCGTTCTCTATCGGCTTCGTAATCGGACAACCAATTTTGGGAACTCTCCGATCGGACTCGAAACACGCTGGAAAAATTCTGAGAAATTTCTAAAGCGACGATTACGTATACGGGGAAAATATCGCGACCAAAAAATTGCGACCAAATCATTTCGCAATCATGAACCATACGGAAACACGATCGAAATTACTCGTTCGAAATTACTCGTATCGATCGAAATTACTCGTATATTCGTTTAAAACTATTGTGCACCTTTCATTCTTTACCGCACACGATATTGTGAATGTAATTAATTGAATGTTTCATTGTTTCGTTCTACTTCATTATTTATTATCGCTATGACGACGCATCATCAATATCGCTCCACAGCTTCCACTGAAACATTGTCAACAGAAACAGAACGTGATTCAGTTCGCAATGCAGTCAGAACATAATTCTTACTGCAATATCTTCTCCGCGCGAAACAGGAGCCCAAACGCCGGCGAGTTTCGCGAGGAAGCGCCGCTTCTCCTGCTCCTCCTCCTCGCGAGAAAATTCCGCAGCGGTCTCGAGGTCCGCTTCAAGAGTATCGCGCGGCGGCAGAATCTCACCGTGAACGAACAAACGAACGAACGAACGAACGAACGAACGAACGAACGAACGACCAACCGACCGACCGACCGACCGACCGACGAATGTGCAGCAGTTACGTCGAACGTGTTAACGCAAGAAAGACGGGAGGGCTGGAACGAGGACGCTGCGCGGGAGATAAAAGGGAGCCAAGGAAGCCGGAGCGGAACATCCTACGACGGACTACGGACATCCGTAGTCCCGCGGGATCTCCGCGCTGACCGAGAGCCAGAAATAGACGATGGGAGAAGAGAGCCATAGAGTCTAAGACGACACGGGAGCAAGGAGGGGGGGGGGGAGCGCTAGAGCGTTCGAGGGCAATGGCGAACGCGGGAGACGACGATGAAAACCGGCAATTCCGACGGTCAATCCCGCGGAAATTTGCCCCAATTTCGCCGCGCGGCTTTGTAATTTCTATTCGGGAGTAACATGAGCGCGCTCACTATAACAATCGGATCCCCGGGAAACCGCCCGGCAATTTCGAAGCTCGCAAAATGCACCCTCACGACTTCCTCGCCCCCTCGCCCCTAAGGCGAGAACACAAACATCACGGCTCGACGTTTTGCATGAATTTGATAAAACAAGAAACAAGAGAGAGAGAGAGAGAGAGAGAGAGAGAGAAGGAAAGAGCAACTGACTGAGCGTGTACAAAAAGAAGAACAAGGGAGGTGCGGGAGGGGGGGAGGGGGGAGAGAAGTGGCGGAGCAGTCCGGCGCGCGCTGCAGAGCACGGCGGCGTAATTATAAATCCTCTGTGAGAACAAGCCGCGGTTTACGTAGTATTTTACATGTATAAAATCGCACGCATAACCGTAGAGAAGGCGGTGGAGGGGGAGGGGGGGAGGGGACGGAGGGAGCGGGGGCGGGCTTACGGAGGGGTGGGTTACGCGGCGCAGCGCGAGCGGTACAATGCGCGCAAGTTCGCGAAGGGAGAGGAAGTCTAGTGAAAAGGCGGAATAATTTACCGGTATGAACTGAATTCCGTCGTACAAGTTGGCAACTCCGCCCCGACATTTACGAAGGCTGCCAGCGTTAAAAGCGATATTCCGTAAGTATAGCCCAACTTTCGCCTTTGATACTCTTGGACCGTGCCCGCTCGGCGCGCCACGCCGGGCTACTAACAGCTCGAACTTTTCCGGAGGAACGAAGTTCAAGATGAAACCACTCGTCGAACACGCCCGAGTAATCCAAATAATCGACGTCCCGACGTGCATGCACTTCACTCGCTCCTCCCCGGAATATCGATTAGTCTCGGTGCCCTGATAACTCGATTCGCCGTCGCATAACTTCTTTAAACACAGCCAACACGCAGCGTACACACGGCGAGAGCCGGGGAGATCCACTTAGCCCGCGCGATCCTCGTGAATACGGTATATCATCGCCCGACCGTTCAAACAGAACCGGACGGTGTCGCGGAAGCGTGCCGGAATCCATTCGTATCGAACGCTTCCCCTGCCCCTGCCCGCCTGCCGCCGCCCGCCGTCGTCGCGACGCGCGGACGTCTCTGCCGGCGTGGCTTCTTTCGGAAGCTTCCGACGCCGCGCCGCGCCGCGCCGCTCGGAAAAATGGGCAATCAAGTGATTGCGAAAGGAGGAAGCTCGCCGCCGCGGCGTTTCGTTTTCACACGCCCGCTTATTTAGAATAATCTTCAGTGAATTATTTAACACTTACTTATCGGGCCGCTCTCTCCATCCGCAGTTGAACGATTTATCTCGATTAATACATCACCTGTTGGAATTAAAGATTCACGGGGATTAAATGGAGACAGACCGAATGAGATGATCGAATATTAAATCATTACCGAGAGCCCTCCTCTTGGCCTCGATACAGAGACTCAACATGCAGACCATCGAGATGATGGCGCATCTATATACCGCGTAGTCCTTTCCAACGAATCCCTCGTTAAGCCGCGCTACAAAATGGCGATAGATCACCACCGATATATATATATATGTATATCTTTCGAGATTCTTCACTGATCCCGCAGGCTCGACGTAGAAGTGATAAGTATATTAATTATTTCACGCGGTACTAGTCCCTTACTTTCCTCCCTCCCCCCTCCCCCTCCCAGCCGATCCTTTTATCAAACATATTACAGACACTCTCTCGTGCCGGTGAATGTTCAGGCGATTCAAAATCACCCGATAACGTCGTTCGGAAGAGTCGTGGGGGTTCCCGCGGGTTGTTACGACTTCGCCGCAACAGTCGTGTACCCGAGGAGGGCGGGAGGGGACGGCTGTAAGGGCAAGCCAGCGTTAATAGAACTCTATGCGCGCGTTGCCGAGTAGATCAGGTACGTACGCGCCGTTGGAGTAGAAACTTCTGCTCGCTAATCGGAAGAACAGCTTGCGTCCGAAATCGACCCTGACTGGGATCAGCGGAGCCCGACGAGCCCCGGGAGTCACATTAACACTCTTAACACGGGCTCTCTATCGCGGCTAATGGAGGTTCTCGGTTTCAAGCGCAGCGGGCCATGGGTACGGTGCTTAACCCGTGCCTATCTGCGATTACCATGAGAGAAGGTCGGGGCGAGAGTGCGCGCGTGACCGCGGAGCAGCCGGAGTGTTTGCCAGAGCCCGAAAGGACGATCCACTTCCGGCTTGCCGGGTTCGACGGTTCCGGTAGCTGAGCGTACACGTCAGCGCACCGCTCGCGAATCAGCATATCTTGCGGGGGCCGAGGAGGAGCGACGCGTTAACCGCGACAGTTGGACGGGCGGGGGAGGGGAGGGGGAGGGGACCCCCGTTCGCGAATCTCGCCGGGCGAAGGCCGCGAGTCGGTGAGAAAAGTTCGATTATCCCGAGTTCTCGGGAACGAACGAACGAACGAGCGAGCGAGCGAGCGAGCCTTTGATCGGCGAAGTCGGACACAGTCGCGAATCGGTTGAAAATATTATGAGCAATTAAGCTGACGCTCCTCATAGGCAGCGCGCGAGCTTAAGAGCGCCCCGCCAATGCGCGGATAATCCGGCGAGTAAAATTTTAGCGAAATCTCAGCGAGTTTATCTCTGCGCGCTTCCTGCGGCGACGGCGGCGACCTTCGTGACATAATTAAATATTGCATGCGCTCCTGTTAGTACGCCTCCGCCGGTCCTCAGCGCGAGGATTAATATTTCACGGCGAGACGGAACGGCGCACACGTCGGACGACATCCTGAGAAAAACATTACGCAAGAGAGCGCTGAGACGAGGGCGAGGACAGAGAGCGAGCGTGCGAACACGAGAGAAAGAGAGAGAGAGAGAGAGAGAGAGAGAGAGAGACTCGATCTTGGCGGTTCCGACCGACATGCTCGGGCTAAATATCTACCTGAGACGACGAGTCAGAGATGGAGAGAGAGAGAGAGAGAGAGAAAGAAAGATTTTATATAGATCGTTGTAACGGAGAGAGAGAGAAAGAGAGAGAAAGAGAGAGAGAGAGAGAGAGAGAGAGAGAAAGGGAGGAAGGGACGGAAAAATGTCGGAAAATTTTTAATTTATCGTAGATTACGACTATCTTCCCGTATGACTCGTCGCGCGATAAATCCATTTATCTCGCGACGGAGTTAACTCTTTGCACTCGTAATCATTTGAAGCCGATGTATCTGCCAGCGGCTCGCGATAAACCGTGTATAAACGTTGCAAGTTGAATGATGTCTCTCTCTCTCTCTCTCTCTGCTTTATTATTTACACATCTGCGACATTTTTCGTTTGGACGTCTTCGCCGTTTTCTCTGTCTTTTAAGCAACGGTTACCTCTTCAACAGAGAACATTTCCTTCGCACAGTGCGCAGCCTTCAAATACACTCATTTCAAATTTTAGAGCAGCTCATTGTCGTGCGCTCGAAAGAAGAATCTCTCTGTGAATACTGTAAAACCTGTATTTTACATAAGGAGCAAGCAGAATTCTTGCTTTAATTTGTTAAATTGTAACAAAATTCTCATTTGATACCCTCGATTGACTAATTTTGTAATGAGCTCGCGATAGGACTGGGGATACACAAACCCCGATGAAATTCGCGCAGCAAGCAACATTTACTTGAAAGCGGCAAGTATTGTCCTGTCTACGCATCCTTACTCTTTCTCTATTAGTTCCGATTTTCTCTCCCTTTGTACAGAGAATATGAAACAAAAGCGGAGGTTTCTTTTTTCTTAGTTTCTGCAAGATCCGGTTCTTGTACGCGTCTCCCTAATTACACGACCTTTTGAGTAATTAAAACGCTTAATTAACATTCCTTCAGCTCCGGTAACTGAGAGAGCAGAGATACGAGAGTGCAGAGAGTTAATATCATTCTCGACGATCACGCGGTGATCATGGCCGCTAATAGACACGACGACGACGGCGACGGCGGCGACGGCGGACCATCCCCTTTCGATATCGCGGCGTTGATAACGGCAATCAACGCTTGCGACTCCGCGACGCAATACTTTTGGGGAAGGCACGGGATGCCACGGCGGAGTTGTCACAGCCGATGTGATCGCAGAAAAATCGCTCGCAGTGTTTGTATCGTACATGAGAGAGAGAGAGAGAGAGAGAGAGAGAGAGAGAGAGAGAGAGAGAGAGAGAGAAAGAGAAAGAGGAAGGACGCGCCCGATTTCCTAGGATCTCCGCTCCTCGCGCGAGTGCTGATCCCGCCGGGAACTAGCGGGTGTCCCATTGTCCGCGTCCACGGGAGCATAGTGTGGCGTTTATATCCGTTGCGCTGTAGTACGCGAGAGACAAAGTGCGAGAACCGGCAGGAGGTCATAGATCTCTCGATCCTCCCGTTGTTCGAGATTCGCTCTCTTACGTGGCCTTTTCTTACCCATAAATCTCTCACTTTCGGATTGCTTCCACGAGTATCGTCGCGCGCGGCTATTCGCGAATCTGCTCTCCGTGAGATCGCGTGTGTCCCGCCGACCGATCGGCCTAGTTCTTCGAATCGTGGACGCACCGTTATAATGCGAACGACATATCGACGTGTTGTCGCGTAGGAAAAAACGACAGATCCGTGGACAGAGTCGCGCGCACCGACATGGCGAAGCTCCTCGTTGCCGGCGCCCCTCGCGACAAAGTTGCGACAAAGTGGGCGTGCGATGTTCGAATATTAATTATTTAAATTGTTTAAATTAGACTGTCATTTAAATATCGTAATTCGAGTGTCCCATAAGTGTTTAAGGGATGGATGTCGACTTGACTTCGGCGTCAGCAACAATCGCGGCAGGTGTCCTTTGAATATTTCAGGGTGCTCGATCTTCGCGCCGTGCAATGGTCGCGGCGATAAATAATTTCGGCGGGGTAAATAAATCCGCGAGCAGGCGCCGCAACAAGTCGCGACACACAACGTCTGAAACGTGCAATTAAACTTTACCGGGGCGCGATCGAAGGAGGACACATTTCATCGTATCATATCGATATCAGATAATCAGATTCGACTGCGGCGCAACTTATCCTTCAGATTGCTGATAAACGAGCGGCCCGACCTCGCGCGAGGAATGCGGGTCGCGTAAAATTGATATCTCGCCCCGTTGCCTGGCGCGTCATAATAACGTTAAATTTGACACAAGAGGTCTCTCGTGCCGTCGCCAAGACGGTACAACAGCTTTAAAATCCAGTCTCGCTCGGCTCATGATTAATATCCACTCATCTCGTAATGTCGGCTCTGATGGCTTGACCTTTCTCATTATGCGACGACGCCAGCCGATCGAATCAAGCGCTACCCGCGTCGCGAGTAAATCGTAGAATTATTCACGACGTATGACATTCTCGAGTGTCTCATGCAAATTTTATTCAACATTCGTAAACTCGAGGTATATCATTAACCTCCTTCTTACATAAATCATCCCCCTCGCGGGGAGAAAAAGGAAGGAGGAGAAAAAAAAATTGGCATGCTCCGTGTAAAATATTGCGGCGCCTAATGGCGGTGTAACGTAGTACGAAAAAGAGCCCACCATAAAAGATATCATGAATATCTATGCCGGCAGGGCAATAAGGTGCTTGTGAATTTAGCTCGCAAGAATGCATATCGCAGAGAGAGAGAGACAGAGAGAGAGAGAGAGAGTGAGCCGGACCTAAATCGCGGCGCGATAAACACTCGTCGGATTCCAGTGGAAATTCTGATCCTGCATGCGACCTCGATGTTCCGCATCACGACAATTTGATACTCGAAAGCCAATATCGACTTCTTTTGAATGCGCTTAACCCACAAGTCTGCCGAAAAGAAGTCTCTCTTAAGAACGAATCTGCAGGTGGCAGATTGTGTGTATTTTGTCATTTGGAGGCGCTGAATGGGGCCTTTATTTCTATGAATCAAATTTCTATTCCATTCCATTATCCTATGAATTAATTTCCACTCTGTGAATTAAAGGTTCTATTAAGTGTCTAATTAAATATCAGGCAGTTTAGGCGAAAAATAAGCTGAAAACGTCGACTACGTTAACCTATTTTGATTCTGTTTAATCCACAGCGTTGTATGCCGCTTGCAGGTTCTCCGAAGAACCTGCAAGCGGCAAAGCGTGCGTTTTTTGCCATTTTCAGAGTAAGCAAAACTTCCGTCTCTACATAAGTTAAATATCCACTGATCTATCAGCGAAATCTAAACGATGGACGCTGGACAGCTGAGACGGAAAATAGGGTGAAAATTTCAACTCGGACTACCGCCCGCTTTCGCAAAGAACGTCTCCCCGAATTTGAAGAAACCATCAGCTCGTCATTCGGCGGGATCGAACATCGAGCCCCCCACGTAGGGATCGAACGAAAACGTTATCTATTTACC